GCCCCTCCCTGGTGCCCGTTTTTCAGGTTGACCAATGACCGCCCGGGGAGCGGGCCCGGCCATTAATTATCGATCAACCCCTCGCCTTTTATTAGTGTAGTACATGACGGTGATTCATGGTGGGTCCGATCGTCCGTCCGCCGCGGCGCACTCATTTCCCGGCGCCCGCCCGGGAGGCTTTCCCGCGTTTTTCCGGTGAGGGACTTGGCGATTTTCTTGCTTTTTCTTCCGGGAGAGCTCGAGTTTTTCTCCAACAGTTTGTGTTCTTTCGTCGCATTTGATATATAGGAATTTGTGGTGCCTACCTCTCCCAACTTTAAAAAAAAAAAGAAGTCTTGTTAGGTGTTTTTTTACATGGATTGCGTTCAGCAGAAAGGAACCAAGCCACATCAGCATTTGCCAGATTTATTTGGGCAATTTACTTTCATACGTAAAAACGGTTATGCGGATTTGTGTGCAGCTTTCAGTGAATTTTCCGTGGTACGAAGCGAATTCCTTAGAATGTTCAAAGGAATCCGCACAGACGCTCTTTTGAAAAAAATTGATTCGCCCGATTAAATTTGGCAATATCTGATGTGGCTTGGACCCTTCCCGTTAAAGTCGGTCCAAATCGAAAATCGAAAAACGAAGGGAAATGATTTTTTTAAAGAAACTGTGAATTGATCAAATTCGTGTGTAGGAAAAAAGAGAGAAAAAAAACAAGAAGGAAAATGTATAATTTCTCATTAGTTAATTATAATTGAGTGTATAAATTGATTAAAATTCAATCTTTTCATATGTTCTGGTTTTTTTTTTTTTTTTTTTTTTTTTTTTTTTTTTTTTTTTTTTTTTTTTTTTTTTNTTTTTTTTTTTTTTTTTTGGAGCTTTGACTTTGTGTTAAGCAAATAAATAAAATTCCGGACGTATCCCGAGATCTGTTGCGTTGGCTTGCATCATTTGATCACTAGCGGCGTGACGAAATTCGAATCTGCCTTTATTCAACTTTTCCCAACAGAGAATTATATGCAATGGATTTGTAGTTCCGCTAATGCGTTCCTGGATGTGCCGCGCATTTGTCGCGGTTCGTGCCATGAGCAATTTTTCGCAGCTTTTTGCAAGATAGCACTTACGGCTGTCTTGCCATGTAACATTAGTTTAACATGAAAATGAATAATACTATTTTTATGTGATTGAAGTGAAATCGGTCGATTTGTAATCATCCGAACGATTTCTAAGAGTTTTTCGGATAATTGGTGGCATTTTGACCAAGATCGGAGGCTTCTCCCGATAAAATTTTCCGGCCAAAAGCTTTTGAGCCCATTTTCTCAAAACTTCATTTTTGCACTTAATATCTCAATTATAGACCATTTAGTTCTCCTATCTAATCAATTATAAACTATAACTAAAAAGCTATTTACAATTTATTACAAATCAGTAGTGTCTGTTGTAAATTTTCCAAATATGTGTGATTTTTTTCAAGTGGATTTCGTTTTGATCCAAGTAAAAATCCGATTGAATCACGAGTATTTTTTCTTGTCATTGTTTTCAAGAGTCTGGACTCTAGATGCAAGCGACTTTCTTTCCTGTGTATGTTCACGAAGTGTTGTGAAGTTTCCAAATATGTGTGATTTTCTTGAAAACAAAATGTTGGTTTTGTTGCAGGTGTGGCCGATCTTGATTCAATCGGATTTTTCCTTAAATCAAGATCCAATCCTCTTATTTTAAGTGGATTTCGTTTTGATCCAAGTAAAAATCCGATTGAATCACGAGTATTTTTCCTTGTTATTGTTTTCAAGAGTCTGGACTCTAGATCCGAGCGAATTTTTTTTCCAGTGTATGTTTACGAAGTGTTGTGAATTTTCCAAATATGTATGATTTTTTTAAGTGGATTTCCTTTTGATCCAAGTAAAAATCCGATTAAATCACGAGTATTTTTTCTTGTTATTGTTTTCAAGAGTCTGGACTCTAGATCCGAGCGAATTTTTTTTCCAGTGTATGTTCACGAGGTGTTGTGAATTTTCCAAATATGTGTGATTTTTTAAAGTGGATTTTCTTTTGATCCAAGTAAAAATCCGATTGAATCAAGAGTATTTTTTCTTGTCAATGTTTTCAAGAGCCTGGACTCTAGATCCAATGTGTTTTTTTTCCAGTGTTGTGAATTTTTGAAATATGTGTGATTTTTTTGAAAACGAAATTTTCGTATTGTTGCAGGTGTGGCCGATGAGTGATGGCGACGTCGAGCGGGGGCAGTGGAGGTCAAGGGGGTGGGGGCGGGGGCCACGGGCATCGGCGGCAGGAGTCGATGTACGCGATGACGGGGCTCTACACGGAGCCGGCCGAGGACAGCGAGCATGAGCCCCAGGCCCCGGGCCCCGAGAGGCCGCCACCGGCCACGTCCTCCTACGACTCCTTCATCAAGAGCCACAGCCGCAACCCCTCCTCCGGACTCGTTGACAAGTGAGTACCATTCTTCCAGCACCATTTTCATGACCAAAGTCCAGAGTTGCTAAAAGAAATTTCATCGAATGAAGTTTCGTGAAATATGAAATTTCTTTTTTCCTCATGAAATTTCTTTCGACCGACAAAATGTTAAACGTCTTCTCTCAGATTCAAGAAAAAGTGAAATACCTAGCACTTCAAAGTTCAAAAATACAGGTACTCTACTTATGTGTCAAATATTTCCTATTTAAAAAAAGAAATTCGTTAGCGAAGGAAACTGTTAATTCCTGAAAAATCATTTAAATTGTTTCAAGGATAGTTTAAGATCCCTCCCTCCCTTTTGTACCAAGAAATAAGGTGAAACTATTAGGGGGTACTAGAATTCTTTAAAGTCAAGAAATTTGTTTTGTACCAAATGAAAGCTAACGTTTCACTTTAGGTATCCGTAAAATTTATTTTGGTGTTCAACGGCTGTGTGTTCAACCAAAATTTGAGAAAAAAAACTAAAATTATGTTTTACTGTTTTAGTCAACTTTCTGAACATTTGAAAGTTCCCTTTCACAGTTTACCACGTGTGTATAAAGAGACTTAAGGAGATTAATAAGTCTCTAGGGTTTAATCCTGAATTCTGCGTGTTAAATGAAATTTCTTTTTATAATCTTTCACAAAATTTCTTAACTCTGTCAAAGTCCCAAACTAGAGTCCTTTTATACTGAGGGCAAAGACAGTGCGAATCCATTTCTGATTGGATCCCGTATAAAGACCTAGATATATACGGCGATTAATCGCCGCGAGTGAAAGACGAAAACCGATGCTGCCGTGCAACGCAGAAACGCCGTAAACGCCATTTTGCATATTTTGGAAACGATGCATCATAGCAGAAAAACTTGTGCTCCTTGGGACAATGTTTTTACAGGATTCTTTCGCAAATACTCCCTGGTAAAAATTAGCGACAGGAGCTGCGTTTCTAAATACTATAGGAGTTCTTATAGCCGATCGAAGAGGGCGATATAAAATCATATAGCTGGCTGTAGAAAGTGGAGAAAATCATACGGCCGGGCTACACGAAGCGATAAAAAATTATACAGCCGGGCTATAGTTCCTATCGCCGGGCTTTACACTTTATCGCCTGGCTGTTGCTTTTTCGCCATCTGCTATAAAAGGCTATAAGAAATTGTGTAGAAATTCTTGTGCTTTGTAAATATTTAAGTTTGTACGGAATCACCTTAATATTTACGAAACGCACATTGTATTTTCCTTTACTACATATTTTTTTTCATCAATTATAACGAGAATAATCCATACAGGATGTGCAAACATTTCAAAGTCATGAGTTGAAAAACGCTGACTCTACGAGATTAAATATTAGAGCCTAACACAAAGCGGAGCGGCGGCGCACTGGCGCCTACAAACCTAACAGGGATACTTCACGCATTGCGCAACGCGTGAAGTATCCCTGTTAGGTTTGTAGGCGCCAATGCGCGTTCAGTGCTGGCTGCCCGCCGCGCCGCAGAATACCGCGGCGCTTGAAGCAACTATTTCACACCAGAGGTATTGCACAGTATCATACGAAATTGAAGGCGCTCCAATGTATTAGGAATGGCAGGCATCCTTTAAAAGCACGGATCTTTCCTCGCAAATTAAATCAATATCCTGCGGCCCGAAAAGAGAGCGGTAGTCCAAAAACTCACTAAGTTTTAGCATCCATAATTAGTAACGTTTAGCATACACTTTATCGCCAGGCTGTTGCTTAATCGTCATCGGCTATAAAAGGCTATTAGAAATTGTGTTGCCGGCTATAGAAGCTATTGGAAATTTTACAGCCGACTGTAGGTCTATGGTATTTTGGAACACAGATTCTACTGCCAATTTTTACCAGGACTATCAAGAACTTAACCTGAAAATATGAGGTGCATGGGTAAAACTGTTTTTATTTTGTAAAGTGTTAAGTTCCTAAAAACGGAGGAAAATCTTGATGGATTTACGGCGTTCTTGCTCAGATCGGTAGAATGGAGAGCCTTGATTTCGATATATCGACGTCAATGGATCGAAATCAAGGCTTTCCATTGACTTCCGTCTTTCACTCGCCGCGATTAATCGCCGTGTGTATCCATAGGCCTTAAGGCCTCGACAGTGTCACAACTGGTAATAAAGATTACATTTCCACCAATTGCGAAGATTATATACTTGAATGGATCGGAGTTTTAGAAGCACGGCAAAGAACAAACGGAATGAGAGATAGAACGGAGACAGGAATGGGTCAATCAAAAATTACAAAAAACGCTCAATTTGTGCGTTCTTTATTCCCGGTTGTGACATCCATGAGCCGCTCTATCTCAACTCTCCCCATAAAGGGACTCTATTCCAAACCACTCATCTTCATTCTGCCTTGCTGCGGTAAAACGCCGTATGAGCATTCACGAGCTGCCGAATTCCCTCCAATAAAATGTTCACTTTGGAGTAGAGTTATGATCATTTCCTTTCGAAATTTTCACTAATTACGAAGAAAACTCTCCGAAAAGTTGAACGGGGCGAATGTTCACAAGTTTTCCTGAAAATTCGTATTTGATAAAAGGAAATATGGCAACTGACGAAGGATTATACGGCGTTTTTCCTTAGCACGGCAGCATCGCAGTGTTTTATAAGCTGGGGAAAGCTCGTTTTTCTTGCAGAACAGCGGTGAAAATCACGTTTTTTCGCACAATCGCTGGGTAAATCACAAGTTTTCCCAAAACCGCATTAATCCATGCAAAAGAGCCGTAAAAAAGTCATATTTTTAAAATTCCTGAGGAGAAAGGGGGTTTTATAATGAACAGGCTAGAACTCTCTGCATCCCTTTCAGAATCTCTGCTCTTCTTTTATTTTTTCGAAGAGAAACAAGTCAACTGTACAATCTGAAATTTCTACGGAATTTTCGGCGAAAAAGCAAGAAAAATCTAGGAAGTTTTCAAGAAATTAATGTGACTAGTTTTTCAAGGAAAAAGTGAAGTATTACAAGAAGTCTGTAACGATGGAAATGGAGATACAGGGTTTCGCACTTCGGCAGTCATACGATGTTGGTTTTTCCCCCCAGAACCAACGCTAGTTATTTTCTTGAACAGTCTTAAAAAGAGGGTGAAAGGTTTTCCAGCTTGTTCCACATTGGGTTGTGGGTTTAACGCGCACCAGCGGAAGCCCGCGGTGCTAAAAATCACGCGAGGTCTCTCTTAATTACCGCACCCATAAATTATCCATTATCGACATCGGATGCAGAAAGCGGCGCCTCTCCGGAATACAAAACACCCCGAAGAATGAACATTATTCGTGGCTGTCAATGTCAATGAAACTTGCATACTTTCGCGACAGGATACGACCGAAAAGTTGGAGTCTAGCCAACCAATGCACTTTTAAAACTTACTACTCGGATTTTCATTTTTTTTTTGGTATCGGTGACGCATGTCCGCATGTTGCCTTATTATGGCATATGATTAATATGGGATGTTATCCATGGCTATAGCAGGCGATTGAATGAAGATTTGAAAATCTAATCCACTCATACATATTATTATGCATTTCTTTGGATATTTCTATCGATCTGCAGGACGTCTACAATTCCGGAATTTCCGGAAAGTCTATCAATAGTTCTGATTTTTTCAGGGCGATCCGGAAGTACTGAAAAAGTGCGGAAATTTCGCAAGACGGTTTGGAAGTTTTGTCATTCTAGTCGCAATTTGAGCGAGAAATTCCAATTTTTTTAAGTTTTCGAATTCAGTCTAATGAAGGTACTGAAAGAGTACCGAATTTTTTTGTCAAGGAGGTACGGAATTTTTTGAGAATGTACTGAAAATGTACTGTAAAAGTACTGACTTTTGGCCAGCCTATTTTAGTAGACACCCTGATCTGTCCCGAGAAATTGCACGAGAATCTCAAATTTGCATGAAAATAAAAGTTGTTTTTATGCAAGGATTGCCTTCCGCACTGCGTGGAATACAGTACGGTCGCTGGTCGTATCGGCGCGATACGCTACAAGAGTGCAGGAATACTGGACGCATTGCGCCGAGCCTATTGTTAGTGCGGTAACCGGTCGGTGCAAAAATCATATGAGCGCCTACAAGTGTGCGTGAATACTTCACGCATTACACAAAACACGGTGCGGCGCTGTAGGAATACTTCACGCATTGCGCGTTCTCTACAGTGCGCGTTTTAATCTTTGAAAATTTGTAATATCTCGTTGCCGGGCCTACCGCGGTCCCCACCATTTTCGACCAGACAGTGTGCACCCCGAGTCTGCAATTTTAGGTAGAGTCCCTTTATACCCAAAGTTAAGACAACTCACTTTTGGTTGGGCTGAAAGTGGCCTAAAAAAAAAATCCAATTCTGATTGGTTCTCGCTCATGGAGGCCGAAACGAGTGCACCAAAATGGCGGTACCTCGAATGTGAACAAGAATAATGAAAATATTACCTAATTGTGGTTTATCAAGAGTAAATTTTTATTACCATCGGTCTAAAATGAAAATAGATTAAGAAATTATTCACAAACCAATCTAATTTTCGTTTTAATTGATCAATTTGTTGATTTTGTTGTTTTTGTGTGACAGACATCGGAGGATTCCTGATCCTTATCCCTCAATATCGTTCGTTTGGGTGCACTCGTTTCGGCCTCCATGGCCAGCCAAGGCCGGCTGCCAGTCAGCTGATAATCGAGTTGTCTTAACTCTGGGTATAAAGGGACTCTAATTTTAGGATCGAGGGATTGTAGAGATTTTGCACCCCTGAATGTTATCCTAGTCCATCGAGTCATTGACGTTGAAGTTCGCCCGTCTCTCTCTGATCGACTATTGTTAAAACAAGAAATCAGCCGATCCCTTGAATTCTCGTCATAGAGAGAGATTACTTTATAATTATTTTCTTTCCGTTTATAATCTCACCCATCAGTGATGCAGAGAGTTTCACCGCGGAGATGTGACAAGCTCGTTGGCTGCGTGTCCCGGTCGCTCACATCCAGCAATTTGGCAACACCGGCAATCCTCAATTTAAA